TCTCAGACCACAGTGCAATCAAACTAGAACTCAGTCAGACCACAGTGCAATCAAACTAGAACTCAGGACTAAGAAACTCAATCAAAACCGCTCAACTACATGGAAACTGAACAACCTGCTCCTGAATGATTACTGGGTACATAATGAAATGAAGACAGAAACAAAGATGTTCTTTGAAACCAATGAGAACAAAGATACAACACACCAGAATCTCTGGGACACATCTAAAGCAGTGTGTAGAGGGAAATTTATAGCACTAAATGCACACAAGAGAAAGCTGGAAAGATCTAAAATTGACACCCTAACATCACAATTAAAAGAACTAGAGAAACAAGAGCAAACACATTCAAAAGCTAGCAGAAGGCAAGAAATAACTAAGATCAGAGCAGAACTGCAGGAGATAGAGACACAAAAAACTCTCCAAAAAATCAATGAATCCAGGAGCTGGTTTTTTGAAAAGATCAACAAAATTGATAGACCGCTAGCAAGACTAATACAGAAGAAAAGAGAGAAGAATCAAATAGACGCAATAAAAAATGACAAAGCGGATATCACCACCGACCCCACAGAAATACAAACTACCATCAGAGAATACTATAAACACCTCTATGCAAATAAGCTAGAAAACTTAGAAGAAATGGATAATTTCCTGGACACTTAACACTCTCCCAAGACTAAACTAGGAAGAAGTTGAATCCCTGAATAGACCAATAACATGCTCTGAAATTGAGGCAATAATTAATACCCACCAACCAAAAAAAGTCCAAGACCAGACAGATTCACAGCTGAATTCTACCACAAGTACAAGAAGGAGCAGGTACCTTTCCTTCTGAAACTATTCCAATCAATAGAAAAAGAGGGAATCCTCCCTAAATCATTTTATGGGGCCAACATCATCCGGACACCAAAGCCTGGCAGAGACACAACAAAAAAAGAGAATTTTAGACCAATATCCCTGATGAACATCAATGCAAAAATCCTCAATAAAATACTGGCAAACCAGATCCAGCAGCACATAAAAAAGCTTATCCACCATGATCAAGTGGGCTTCATTCCTGGAATGCAAGGCTGGTTCAACATACACAAATCAATAAACATAATTCAGCATATAAACAGAACCAAAGACAAAAACCATATGATTATCTCAATAGAGGCAGAAAAGGCCTTTGACAAAATTCAACAGCCCTTCATGCTAAAACCCTCAATAAATTTGGTATTGATGGAACGTATCTCAAAATAATAAGAGCTATTTATGACAAACCCACAGCCAATATCATACTGAATGAGCAAAAACTGGAAAAATTCCCTTTGAAAACTGGCACAAGACAGGGATGCCCTCTCTCACCACTGCTACTCAACATAGTGTTGGAAGTTCTGGCTAGGGCAATCAGGCAAGAGAAAGAAATCAAGGGTATCCAGTTAGGAAAAGAAGAAGTCAAATTGTCCCTGTTTGCAGATGACATGATTGTATATTTAGAAAACCCCATCATCTCAGCCCAAAATCTCCATAAGCTGAAAAGCAACTTCAGCAAAGTCTCAGGATACAAAATTAATGTGCAAAAATCACAAGCATTCTTATACACCAGTAACAGATAAACAGAGAGCAAAATCATGAATGAACTTCCATTCACAATTGCTTCAAAGAGAATAAAATACCTAGGAATCCAACTTACAAAGGATGTAAAGGACCTCTTCAAGGAGAACTACAGACCACTGCCTAGTGAAACAAAAGAGGACACAAACAAATGGAAGAACATACCAGGCTTATGGATAGGAAGAATCAATATCGTGAAAATGGCCATACTGCCCAAAGTAATTTATAGATTCAATGCCATCCCCATCAAGCTACCAATGACTTTCTTCACAGAATTGGAAAACACCACTTTAAAATTCATATGGAACCAAAAAAGAGCCCGCATTGCCAAGACAATCCTAAGTCAAAAGAACAAAGCTGGAGGCATCACGCTACCTGACTTCAAACTATGCTACAAGGCTACAGTAACCAAAACAGCATGGTACTGGTACCAAAACAGAGATATAGACCAATGGAACAGAACAGAGTCCTCAGAAATAATACCACACATCTACAGCCATCTGATCTTTGACAAACCTGACAAAAACAAGAAATGGGGGAAAGATTCCCTGTTTAATAAATGGTGCTGGGAAAATTGGCTAGCCATAAGTAGAAAGCTGAAACTGGATCCTTTCCTTACTCTCTATACAAAAATTAACTCAAGATGGATTAGAGACTTAAATGTTAGACCTAATCCCATAAAAACCCTAGAAGAAAACCCAGGTAATACCATTCAGGACATAGGCATGGGTAAGGACTTCACGTCTAAAACACCAAAAGCAATGGCAACAAAAGCCAAAATTGACTAATGGGATCTAATTAAACTAAAGAACTTCTGCACAGCAAAAGAAACTACTATCAGAGTGAACAGGAAACCTACAGAATGGGAGAAAATTTTTGCAACCTACTCATCTGACAAAGGGCTAATATCCAGAACCTACAAAGAACTCAAACAAATTTGTGAGAAAAACACAAACAACCCCATCAAAAAGTGGGTAAAGGATATGAGCAGACTTCTCTCAAAAGAAGACATTCATGCAGCCAACAGACAGACAAATGAAAAAATGCTCATCATCACTGGCCATCAGAGAAATGCAAATCAAAACCACAATGAGATATCATCTCACACCAGTTAGAATGACAATCATTAAAAAGTCAGGAAACAACAGGTGCTGGAGAGGATGTGGAGAAATAGGAACACTTTTACACTATTGGTGGGATTGTAAATTAGTTCAACCATTGTGGAAAACAGTATGGCGATTCCTCAAGGATCTAGAACTAGAAATACCATATGACCCAGCCATTGAATTACTGGGCATATACCCAAAGGATTATGAATCATGCTGCTATAAAGACACATGCACACATATGTTTATTGTGGCACTATTGACAATAGCAAAGACTTGGAATCAACCCAAATGTCCATCAGTGAAAGACTGGATTAAGAAAATGTGGCACATACACATCATGGAATACTATGCAGCCATAAAAAAGGATGAGTTTGTGTCCTTTGTAGGGACATGGATGCAGCTGGAAACCATCATTCTCAGCAAACTATCGCAAGAACAGAAAACCAAACACCTCATGTTCTCACTCATAGGTGGGAATTGAACAATGAGATCACTTGGACACAGGAAGGGGAACATCACACACCAGGGCCTATTATGTGGAGGGGAGTGGGGGGAGGGATGACATTGGGCGTTATAACTGATGTAAATGATGAGTTGATGGGTGCTGACGAGTTGATGGGTACAGCACACCAACATGGCACATGTATACATATGTAACAAACCTACACGTTGAGGACATGTACCCTAGAACTTAAAGTATTAAAAAAAAAAAAAAGTACATAGTAAGCATAAAAGGTCAGCAAAGTAAGACTGATTAAAGGAGGAGGAGAACCAGAAGAGTGGAGTGTTAAGTAGACAAAATTAACTAAGTACTATTCACTGATGACTGACAAAGAATAAATGTTATTATAGGTCATTTATTAGGTATGTTTAAAGACAAAAAGAATAGTATCAGTGGATTCAAGAAGTACCACAAGAAAGAAGTGATAGCAGGAATGCAATTCTTGATGAGAATGAAAGTATATAAAAACAGATGAATAAGACGTCCTAGTGATTCTAATGCCCCCTCTAGTGAGATGCCCTAGAACACACAGAAGATAATTCTCACAAACAAAATTAGGTGTATCAAAATAATGACCAAGGAAGAAGGAAAAAAAAATGTTATTAATATAGGGCTGAGAGTCAGGGCAGCAAATTATTTTAAAACTTAACCTTATATGAAATATAAATTTTAACATTTTACAAAATCATGTATTTCTATAGTATGGTTGCAAGTAAAAAACACATTAAAAATGAACAGTACATGCCAAAAGTTAACAGATAGATTCTGAATTCAAAAAAAAATTTCCATATTACCCAACTTTCAAACAATAAATTACCTTTACTTAAAAAGATTAACTGGAATAATAAAGTCATTTTCTCCAAAAACTTCTAATCATGAGTGCTAAAAACCACAAAACATCTTTTCCCTTTTATTATACTCTAAATAGAGGAGGGGATTCAGGACACGTATCCCAAAATGGGGCATCTTGGCATATTGAATATTTTAAGCTGTAGGAATTTGAGAAACAACATGTACAAGAAGAATATTTTCTGGCCTTCCCCTGAAGCAAGTCATAACACCCTCATGTGAGAGGTGCCCTCCCTATACCTAAAGAATGGAGCATCTTTATCCCCATAGACACAGAGTGGAATTTGAATGAACAGGCTTTGCTAAATTTCCCCCAATTTATTACACTTAGTTCACATCCCCTTTGTCCTATTATATTTCTCCATGACTTTTCCATCTTCATCACACCTGGCATAAAAACATTCAGGTTTAACCATTTCTTTGGGTCTTCATTTCCTTATAAAGGCTGCCATGTCACATAAAACATATTAAATACATTTGTATGCTTTTCTCTTGTTAATGCATGTTGTTATAGAAGTCCCAGTTAATGAACCTAAGATGAGTAGAAGGAAAAGATATTTTTCCTAACCTTACAGAAGTTTAACCACCAGATTATCAATGATTGAATATTTAAGAATATAAAAAGCATATTATAAGCATACCAATAAAAGTATATCTGTAATAGTTATAAGAGGCCTAAAGCAACCCAAAGATTCAAGCATTTCGTTCCTCTGCCAGAAGTCACCAGAATCAATGAAGACAAATTCTGTGCACCTGTCAAAAAGAAACTATCCTTTTACAAATAGGACTTGTTTAAATTTATCATGCCTACGGCTAATAATGATGATACCCTGTTGAGAACTGAGATCACAATTTAGTTATCATCATCTAAACTTTAGTAAAATAAAATTTTAATTTAGTCTTAAGTAAACAATTGCTAAATTTACTGACAATGATAGGAAATTACCAGTTGGTTTGAAATTAACACCTTCATCCATCTTTATTAAGTCCAGGGATGATAAATCATTCAGATTCTTCAAACATAATTCTGTTTAATTATAGAAAACACATTTTAATTTTAGTAAAATAGGGAAGTAGGGCAAAATAATTTATTATTAAATATGTTAAAGTTGTTATTACTGTGTAATTGTTCTAAAAGAACCACAGTCCCTAATTAAGCGGTAAGAAAAAGCTCATTTAAATAAAAAAGCTAACTAATACACTAAAAACATTTTCTAAAAGTAACAAGAATACAAATAATAAAAAGAACATTCAGTAAGTAGAAATAACACGTAAAACTTGGAGTTTTAAGTAATACATGATACACAGGTATTACCTCATTTAATCCTGAAAACATCACAATAAGGTAGACACCGATATTCTTATATATAGGTTAGGAAACTAACGAATAGAGGCTACGTAACTTGCTCCAGGTCTAAGTATCCACTTTGCTATCTGCCCTCCATTAAGGTAATGGTTTGCTTTTTCTTTTATTTTTTCTTTAAACTTCTATCAAAGATATATTAATATATGCACAAAGTATAAGGAGTCAAATAGTTCTGCAAAGATTATTCCAAAAACCACCTCCTCCCTCTTTGCCACTTTCTTGAAGCAACAACTTTAACTGATGCTTTCAGGTGTTTACTTTTGTTTCTCTGACAGGAAGAAATGCTAGTTCATGCTCACTATTCATGGGGATCAGAGCAATTGCAGTGATCTGCTGCTTACAGTTCCTTCTCTGCCTCATACTATGCTCCAGGAGATACAAGATAGTTCAGAGCAGACAGTGGGAATACTGTAATAGTTCAATCCTAAATAGAGCAGCCACTCAAAAAAACACCCTTAGAGTTCTTCAGGAAATACTTTAGTTTAAGCAGCACTGTTTAGACAGCTTGATAGTGTTAAGTGTTTGGGTGAAGTAAAGATTTTGAAGTCTTTTCTAATTTTCTTAATTACCCACTATTAAATCAGTTCATTACCCATTACTCGGTAAGTCAATGAAAAATGCTTACTTTACCATAAGCTGAGCATGATTCTAAGCTCTATGTTTACAGCAGTTAACAAGACAAGGTTTTTCTTTTTAGAACTTATATTTTACAGAAGAAAGCAATCAACATACAAATAAATATATGGTTTCACATATACTATAAAGAAACATAAGGCTAAGAACCTGTATAGAATGATTGTATAGAATTTTAAATCTTTTAACTAAAGTTTATGTTTATTTCCTTTTCCTTTTTTTCCTTTCTTTTCTTTTCTTTTCTTTTCTTTTTTTTTTGAGACAGGGTCTTACTCTGTTGCCCAGGCTAAAATACAGTGGCATGATCACAGCTCACTGCAGACTCAACCTCCCAGACCCAAGCAATCTTCCCACCTCAGTCTCCCGAGTAGCTGGAACTACAGGCATGTACCACCGCACCAGCTAATTTTTAAAATAACTTTTTGTAAAGGTGGGATCTCCCTATGTTGTCCAGGCTGGTCTCAAACTCCTGAGCTCAAGCGATCTGCCAACCTTGGCCTCCCAAAGGGATTACAGGCATGAACCACCATGCCCAACCTATATATATTTCTCATAAATGCTATATATTTTGATATAGAGTAAGGCTATCCTCACCCTTATTGTCAAAATAAACACATTACCTTTTCTAAAAACAAGGAAAACAACAATAACAACATTAAAATCATTTTGTCCTCTCAGTAAAGGTGAATTTAAGTAAGATACACCACAGGAAGACCTCTCTAAAAAGTTAATATTTGAACAGGGATCTGAATAAAATGAAGGTGCACACCATGTAAAGTATGCAAGGAGTGTTCCAAAAATAGGGAACAAAATGTGCAAAGGACTTGATGTGGGAACAAGCTTGTTGTATTTAAGGAATAGCAAGAAGGCCAATTTGGTGAGAGTAGAATAAAAGAGAGATAAAGTGACAAGAGATAGGCAGGGAGATATCAAGCAGGATTTTGTGGCCTGTGGTGAAAATTTGTATTTTATTCTAAGAGTAATGGGGAAGCTATTAGAGTATACTGCGCAAGAAAGTATAAACAAGTTTAGGAAACAGCATATACTATGCCGATCCTTCCTGAGAGATTTAAAGCAGATCTCCAAGGATAATGGCAGTGCTCAGAAAATGCTGACCTAAAGCATTTCAAACTCAGTAAGACTGAGAGGACCTCAGAAACAAGAATGTCACTTTGACCTTTCCCTGACTTTCTGTGTGAAACATGGTCACAAAGGAATTCTCTGACCTACTTTGTCTAAATTCTAAGACCCTCATTCCACGGTATGGAATAGTCCTGTCTCATGCCCAGGAAGAAAGAATGCTACACAGAGAGGCCAAGAAGAATCTGAACAAACAGGCCTTGTTAAGATCTGCCCAGTTTTTTAACATTAGATAATACCCTTTTTGTCCAGTCATGTTTCTCAACAACTATCCATTTTTTTTTCATTAGACTTGCCATAGAAACACAGTTTTCCCTGGGTCTTTGGGTCTTAATTTCTGAAGGCTCCCATGTCATATACAACTTTGATTAAATAAATTTGTTATGCTTTTCTCTTGTTAATCTGCCTTGTTACAGGAGTGTCAGCTGTGAACCTTGCAATGAATGAGGAAAAGATGTTACTATTTTTCTCTCCTACAATACCAAAACTTTAATATTCAGTTATATTTAGCTATTTTTGTTTATAAGGCAAAACTTTGCTAACCCTATAGTGACCAAAGATAAGGCAAATATGAGCTGTGATTCTGCTAATTTAACAAAAGATGAAACATTAAAGTTATCTGAATATAGCAATATACCTCTTGGACTGTCTGATTTCTTGAGTGTATTTGATCATTATTTTCAAAATATATGTTTAATTTTTAAAATCCCATTACAAAATTAATCAATACCTTGAAGATAACACAACTTATAATCTGTATTTCAACATGAATACAGCAGCATTATAAATATATGCTATTGGTTATGACCATGTTTTAACAACTTATTTATTCTTTAAGCAAGACAATTTTACTGCTTTATCTTTATCTCTGCATTTTTATTTGCCACACATGTAATACAAGTAGAGAATAAATTTAAATTAGCTAAATATTTTTAGAGGATCTAACTTTTTTCTTTTACTAAAGAGACAGTCTCAACTCAATGAAACGTAGCAATTTCTAATCTGAATAAATGCCTATCAATATTTTACATTTTAAAAAACAAGTAAGAAATACCAGTTGATTAACTAAATAACAAAGTTGAGGTTGGATAGGAATACATCTTTGGCACAGGTTGGGATACAAAGCCCATAATCAATCTGGGCTTATATTTTTCAATTAAAATTAAGTAGAAAAGAAAAAATACATGTTGGGCATGGTCGCTCACACCTATAATCTCGGTACTTTGGGAGGCAGAGGTGGGAGGATCACTTGAGGCCAGGAGTTTGAGACCAGGTCGGCTGAAAAACACAGTGAGACTCTCTTTCTAAAAAAACTACCAAATTAACCAGTTGTGGTGGCTCACGCCTATAGTCCCAGCTACTCAGGAGGCTGTGGCAGGAGGATCATTTGAGCTCAGGAGTTCAAGGTTACAATGAGCTATGATCACGCCACTGCATTCCATCCTGGGTGACAGAGTAAGACCGTCTGTTTTTAAAAAAAGAAAAAATACAGAGTGTGTATGTGTAGGCATATTTTCAAAGACCAGGGTGATGTTAGGAATAACAACCAAATAAACCAAGTTAACATATTATACAAAGAAAGATATTCGGACAGAATAAATTGATTAATTCAGCAAAAAAGTACATATGTCAAGCTTTTTGTGTGAAAAAGAAATAGTTCACATTATTTTTCTACAGGCAAGTTTCCTTTTTAAAAGATGATTTACAAAAGCATATTCTTACTTTCACAATAACTGAACTTTTTCACTAAAATATATAGAATCTAATTTTTAGAATGAAATGCCTCTAACCTTGTAATTTTGCTTCAATTCCATCTTTGTTCAATCCAGATGCAAAACCTGCATGTCATGAAAATTTACAAAAAGTAACATAGAATTTAGTTCACCTTTACAGGCTCAGTTTATACCCCTGTTAACTAGTGAAGAGTAGTCTAATTAAGAAAAAAAATCTCAGCTTATTGAGTTCAAACAAGGCTTAAATATCCATAGAAACAATGAACAGGAATATCATATTTTAACAAGAATTGTTTGGAATAAATTTCCAAATGTTTTACACATAGCAAATATCTGTCAAGTGTTTAATATCTTCTAATGAACTTTCATTGTAACATGAATGTTCCTATGAAAACATGTTTGGTAACACAAACATTTTGTGCTATTCACTGAAGTTGAAACTACACATACCCTTTAACTCAATAATTTCACTCCTAGGCACATACCCACAGATATACATATACATGTGTATCAAAAGATATATATAACAATGTTCACAGAAACATTATTTAAAATTAATAATTTCCTTTCATCAAAAGATTTATATTCATATAAATGGAATCTTTTCAAGAATAGATAAAGCTAGCCTGTGGTATGTAAGTCAGAATAGCATTGACTTCTGGGGGCAAATACTGACAGAAAAGGAGCATGAGGGAACATCTAGAAAATGTTCTATATCTTAATCTGAGCTGTGGTTACATGTGTGTATATGTGTGTATAAACATATATATAAAACTTCATTGACCTATACACCTCATATTTGTGCAGTTTACTATAAGTGATATCTCAATACAAAAAAGTAACTACAGAAAATAAAGTAACTATGAAAATGAAGGAATGAAAATTAAAACATGAAAGATATTAATATTCATACTTGATATTCATAAAAATACACAAGTATACACCCTGAAGGAAAGGCTGGAGAAACAAAATATGGCACTTTTGAACACTGCTGATAGGTATATGAGCTACTAAGGTAGAAATTTACCCAAATTTATAAATGCATATATCCCTTGACACAGGAATTTCATTTCTAGAGATTTATCATACAGATAGATTCATACATGGAAAAAATGAAGGGATTTTTTGGCTACATTGTTTGTAATAGCAAACAATTAGAAAAACCATAAATGTCCATCAACTGGGGATCATTTAAATAGGTGATACGTAAGTAAATGGAATATTATTTAGCTATTAAAAAAAGCTTCCAGCCAGGCATGGTGGCTCACAGCTATAATCCTAGCACTTTGGGAGGGTGAAGTGAGAGGATCGCTTGAGCCCACAAGTTCGAGACCAGCCTGGGCAGCATAGGGAGGCTCTGCCTCTACAATTTTTTTTTTCAAAAGTTAGCCAGTGTGCTGGCATGGGCCTGCAGTACCAGCTACTCAGGTGGCTGGGGTGAGAAAATCACTTGAGCCCAGAAGGTTGAAGGTGCAGTAAGCTGTGATCACACCATTGGATTCAGCCTGGGCAAGAGAGTGACAGCCTGTCTCAAAAAAGCTTCCAAGACATACTAAGAAAAAAAGGAATGTGCAGAAGACTAAAATAATGGAGGTTTAAAAAAATATGCCCACAAGGCCAGGCACGGTGGCTCATGCCTGTAATCCCAGCTTGTTGGGAGGCCAAGGCAGGTGGATCACTTGAGATCAAGAGTTCCAGACCAGCCTGGTCAACATGGTGAAGCGCCATCTCTGCTAAAAATACAAAAAATTAGCCAGTCATGGTGGCGCGTGCCTGTAGTCCCAGCTACTCAGAAGGGTAAGGCAGAGAATTGCTTGAACCTGTGAGGTGGAAGTTGCAGTGAGCCAAGAGTGTGCCACTGCACTCCAGCCTGGGCAACCAAAGAGGCTCTCTCAAAAAAAAAAAAAAAAAAAAAAACCCACAAATTCTTTGATATTCTCCCCTCTGAGAGATGAACTTAATCCCTCTTGCCTTCATGTGACCAAGACTCAGTGACTTGCTTCTAAAAAACAGAATAAAGTAGAAGTAATGATGTGTGACTTCAGAGACAAAGATATAAAAAAGTACTGCTGCTTCTGATTTAGTCTGTCTGTCTTTCTCTCTCTTTCTCTCTTGGATCATTCATCCTGAGAAAAGTCAGCTGCCATGCTATGAGGAAAGATCCACCTGGCAAAAGACTGAGGCCTACCAACAACTGTGAGAAACTGAGGCCTCTAACTTATAGCTCCGTGAGTGAGACTACTTAGAAGTGAATCTTCAAGATCCAGAAAAGCCTTCAGATGACTGCAGCCCTAGCTGACATATCTTACAATCTGAAGAGAGCCTTTGACCCAGAGCCACTTAGCTTAGATACTCCCAGATTCCTAACCCACATAGGCTGTGTGAGATAATAAATTCTGGTTGTTTCTAGATGATTTGTTTTAGGGTAATTTGTTAAAAGGAACAGAAAACGAATACAATATGCCACCATTTGTGTTTAAATGGTGGAAAAATAAAATTACATTTTCTTATTTACATATGCAAAAAATATTATACAGAAAAGATATACCAATGATTACAGAACTAGGGGAGGGAAAGGGGAGAGATGGGAATTGAACAACTGTGTAGGTGGGGATATATATGGAAGAATTTTAGTTGTATATATTCCTTCACTTTGATTTTTGAACTAAGTAAATGTATTACCTAGTTGAAACAGAAATTTTTTAAGTGATATGAATATTTATATAGATATTCTTTTAATATAGACTTAATTACTCTTTGAGATCTGAAAGTTTTGAACCTCTGTGCATTAGAATAATTCAACAAGTCAGGCTTTAATTTGGTATTCAACAACCCCAAGTTGAATGAATGAATGAAAAAACCCTCTGGAAGCCACATAACCAGATGTAGGTTAGCTTTAGAAGCAAGATGAAAATTGTGACAGCAACAGTAGCACTATATACTTTCATTTCTTATAAACTGAAAAATAAACAGTCATAAACTCAGAAAGAGTAGTTGAACACTAAGTACATACAAAATTCAAAACTTTTTGTAACTTTAACTTATTTTCAATGATTTAGACATTTCTGTTATTTTTATTGGAGCTGAATTTTTTTCTACCAGATCTATTTTTAATGGTGCTGATTTCAAACCTTGTTGAAACACTAAAAGTAAAACAGATACAAATTTCTCGGTTTGTCTGCTCTTGTCTCTAAACGTATTTGGGACTGTTGTAACTTTTTGTTTTGTTATCTATTAGTTTCTATAATCTATCCTGTAACTTACTAGTAGAAATACAGACCTAGCTGGCTTGAAAAAATTACTACTTTTCCAAGTCAAAGTAACAAATCATAATGAGATGGATTTTTCAAGGCTCTGATATAAAGCAAAGTTGATCGTATTCATTCCAAAGCAATATTCACATCTGCAACAGTATGCAGTACTATCTCTGCATTTAAATGTTCAATAAGATGTCTGTGCAAACTAATGAAAAAAAAAACTTTGCATTACAAATATGCAGTTCAATGCCATAACTCTTAATTTTTAACTTTAATAATATATAATATACCCATTGCCACTTTACTAATTCATGAACTATAACTTAATTTCCAAAAGCATAAAAGAAAAACTTAAAAAGTCAGTTCAGCTTCTAAAAAGGCTTCAGATATCTCTCTCTACTCTATGGCTGTAGAAGACAGATTATTGCTTTAACAAAAGTTGAAGCATAAATTACATCCTACTTTCTCCAAAAGAGAATACATTAAATACCTTACTAATAGGTCCCAGATTTCCTCTATTATTAAAATAAGATGTGAAAATAGTTCTCCTTTATTACAAATTAGTAATTATAAATTTATATAATTTCATATTTAAATTATAATATAATCATAATTACTATGGCTTTATTACAAATTAGGGTTTGTTATAAATACATGCTTGCCAATAACTACCACTGAATAAAACTTCTAACTTTAAAAAAAATTATTAAATTCCCTAAAGTGACACAAACTTTCCAGTTAAATTGCTGAAAACTTTACAGAAAATGGCCTTAAAAAAATCTCCAAACCAAATTTTCCTTTGATATTCTAAAAGGAAATAAGATAAGCTATACTAGCATTAGTATCTTTTTGGAACATTTTTGTATTACCTGCTTTTTACAGTGTCTCTACAAACTAACATCTGAATGTACTTGTCTCTTGTGCTTAATCGAGTTATGATAACTGCAGTAGCTGTAGTGTCAAACTGGGGAAAAAACAAACAGAAATTTAGTGAAGAAGGGCACATCTTGGTACCAGTCCTCTGCAATAACTCAAGACTTTCATTTTATATTAAACAGTCTCCTTGTCTGAAATAATACTTCGAAAAGGCCTTAAAAATGCTCTCACTTTGTTAACCTAAAATTTAATTTAAAAGCTTTCCAAGAGTATAGCTGTAAATATCATTTTGGTTTCAATGTAACATAATTTTGGCAATGATAAAATCAAAACAAACTCTGGTAACTGTATAAAAGTTGTAAGATTTGGTATAGTTTACATATAATCTGATTACTCTATGAAATTATAGAATTGTATAACACAATATTTACAAATGTTTTGAAAATATGCTCTTCCTGATGTTCCCATACTACCTGCAAAAATGACTTATTCATGTATTTGTCAGAGTAGGGTATGTTTTGAAATGTATTTGGGCTGACTTTTGTCATAATGCCTGGGAACACTATTAGCATTTATTGTTAGGACCCAGGGATGTTACATGCTCTGTAATGTGACAGCCTGAAACAAGATAAACCTGTTCCATCCAAAATGCTGAGTACCTCCATTCAGAATTTAAAAAAAACAAAACAAACAAAAAGTCATAATTTAAAAAAGACCTTTAACAGAATACCCATTCATAAACCCATCCCTTCATCAGCCAATGTGAGCTTACACAGAATGAAGGAAGTATGTCCCAGTTGGTGAGGCTTGTTTTACTTTTATTCCTCCATTAAAGGTAAATTTTCTCTGCTATATTACTTTTAAGCCTGATATAATTATGACAGCTAATCAAAAAATACACAATTTTTTTGTTTTTATCATGTTTTTAAGTATAAAAAGCAAAATTATTGTCACTTACTTGAGGTCGACCAGCTCTACCAATCATCTGTAGAATATCTGTTTCACTGTACTCTTCAAGCAGTCCTCCGGCATAATGCATTGTAGATTTTATAACTACTAGGTGAGCACACAAATTTACTCCCATAGCTAAAGTACTGGTAGTAACTGCATCAGATGAAGACATAGTAATTTTGAGCCATTTAACTTTATTGCTTCAGGAAGACATTTTAATAAAAGACATTCTTATAAAAGTAATAAAAACTCATATATAAGACATTTAGAAAGGAAAAAAGAACATTACAATCTAAAATAGTAACACACTTAAATCCAAAAACTTATTAATTTCTTGTTTTTCAAATTACACTATGTTCAATAATATGACAAAGAACTAAACATTGCCAAAGAATCTACTGTAACATCTACATGAACAGGTAACCACTTAATTTTATATTCTCAGAAGAAAAGCACAAAACAAGCAGAATATTTGAGCTTTTCCTTTTTTACCTCTGAAAAATAATTTTCCAAAATATTTTAGAGTATCCATAAGAAATATGTGTTACTTATAAAGAATTGGTAAATCTCCAACAGTAAAAGCTCCTTCAGCTACTTTTCTATCTGACAGCTCCATATCAGCATGATGATAAGCAGCACCATCTTTTAAGATGTCTGTAATAGAAATATATCAGCTGTTACTATTAATATTTCATCAATAATTGGCACCTTTCATCTGTATGTGAAAATGCTATTCAAAAATTATCTCTAAACCTACCTCTCAGTTTTGAATCTCTTATGGAATATGCATACTTCTGTAACCTATCTAAAAATACCATAAAATTATTGAGTTACTCTCAGGAACATTAAAGAACTCTGAAACAGTTTATTATTTTAAAACTTAGATGTATCAAAAAAATTTGACAATATCATTATCTGAAAACTATTTTTAAGAAGTAGAAAATATCCAACTTTCATATTCAAAAGTCCCTAAACTTATGAGCTATAATATTAAAGCTCACTTTTAAGCAAAGAATTTGCAAAACTCACTTTCCCCAAGAAAACAACATAATTGGTGATTAACAAGTCAGAATATAAGTCTACTCTCAAAATTTGCCTAAAAAAATTGTAAGAAGTAACAATTTTGAAAACTACTATATCACTGGTAAGTAAGCAAAACAAACAAACTAACAACAACAACAAAAAAATCCATGGAAATAAACAATAGTTGTTTCCAGTGCTCTGAAGCATGGCATTTAAAAAAACTGTTACAAGAAGCAAAGAAGGTCATAATTTAATGATAAAGGGGTCAATTCATCAAGAGCACATAAGAATTGTAAAAATATAAACACCCAACACTGAAGCATCAAAATATATAAAACATTACTGAGGGCAGAGCAAGATGGCGGAATAGGAACAGCTCCAGTCTCCAACTCCCAGCGCCAGCGACACAGAAGACCTGTGATTTCTGCATTTTCAACTGAGGTACTGGGTTCATCTCACTAGAAGAGTGCCAGACAATTGGTGCTGGTCAGCTGCTGCAGCCCCACCAGCCAGAGCTGAAGCAGGGCGAGGCATCGCCTCACCTGGGAAGTGCAAGGGGGAAGAGAATCCCTTTTCCTAGCGAGGGGAACTGAGACACACAACACCTGGAAAATCGGGTAACTCCCACCCCAATACTGTGCTCTACCAAGGATCTTAGAAAACGGGCACACCAGGAGATTATATCCTACACCTGACCGGGAGGGTACCACACCCACAGAGCCTCCCTCATTGCTAGCACAGCAGTCTGTGATCTCGCGGCAAGGCAGCAGCGAGGCTGGGGGAGGGGCACCCACCATTGCTGAGGCTTAAGTAGGTAAACAAAGCCACTGGGAAGCTCCAACTGGGTGGAGCTCACAGCAGCTCAAGGAAACCTGCCTGTCTCTGTAGACTCAACCTCTGGGGACAGGGCACAGCTAAACAACAACAACAAAAAGCAGCAGAAACCTCTGCAGATGCAAACGACTCTGTCTGACAGCTTTGAAGAGAGCAGTGGATCTCCCAACACGGAGGTTAAGATCTGAGAAGGGACAGACTGCCTGCTCAAGTGGGTCCCTGACCCCTGAGTAGCCTAACTGGGAGACATCCCCCACTAGGGGCAGACCAACATCGCACACCTCACACAGTGGAGAACACCCCTGAGAGGAAGCTTCCATAGCAAGAATCAGATAGGTACACTCGCTGTTCAGCAATATTCTATCTTCTGCAGCCTCTGCTGCTGATACCCAGGCAAACAGGGTCTGGAGTGGACCGCAAGCAATCTCCAAGCTGAGGGTCCTGACTGTTAGAAGGAAAACTAACAAACAGAAAGGACACCCACACCAAAACCCCATCGGTACGTCACCATCATCAAAGACCAGAGGCAGATAAAACCACAAAGATGGGGAAAAAGCAGGGCAGAAAACCTGGAAGTTCAAAAAATAAGAGCGCATCTCCCCCTGCAAAGGAGCGCAGCTCATCGCCAGCAACGGATCAAAGCTGGACGGAGAATGACTTTGACGAGATGAGAGAAGAAGGCTTCAGTCCTTCAAACTTCTCAGAGCTAAAGGAGGAATTACGTACCCAACACAAAGAAACTAAAAATCTTGAAAAAAGAGTGGAAGAATTGATAGCTAGAGTAATTAATGCAGAGAAGGTCATAAACGAAATGACAGCAATGAAAACCATGACATGAGAAATACGTGACAAATGCACAAGCTTCAGTAACCGACTCGATCAACTGGAAGAAAGAGTATCAGCGATTGAGGATCAAATGAATGAAATGAAGCGAGAAGAGAAACCTAAAGAAAAAAGAAGGAAAAGAAATGAACAAAGCCTGCAAGAAGTATGGGATTATGTAAAAAGACCAAATCTACGTTTGATTGGGGTGCCTGAAAGTGAGGGGGAAAATGGAACCAAGTTGGAAAACACTCTTCAGGATATCATCCAGGAGAACTACCCCAACCTAGTAGGGCAGGCCAACATTCAAATTCAGGAAATACAGAGAACACCACAAAGATACTCCTCGAGAAGAGCAACTCCAAGACACATAATTGCCAGATTCACCAAAGTTGAAACGAAGGAAAAAATCTTAAGGGCAGCCAGAGAGAAAGGTCGGGTTACCCACAAAGGGAAGCCCATCAGACTAACAGCAGATCTCTCGGCAGAAACTCTACAAGCCAGAAGAGAATGGGGGCCAATATTCAACATTCTTAGAGAAGAGAATTTTCAACCCAGAATTTCATATCCAGCCAAACTAAGTTTCATAAGTGAAGGAGAAATAAAATCCTTTACAGATAAGCAAATGCTTAGAGATTTTGTCACTACCAGGCCTGCCTTACAAGAGACCCTGAACGAAGCACTAAACATGGAAAGGAACAACCCATACCAGCCATTGCAAAAACATGCCAAAATGTAAAGACCATCCAGGCTAGGAAGAAACTGCATCAACTAACGAGCAAAATAACCAGTTAATATCATAATGGCAGGATCAAGTTCACACATAACAATATTAACCTTAAATGTAAATGGACTAAATGCTCCAATTAAAAGACACAGACTGGCAAACTGGATAAAGAGTCAAGACCCATCAGTCTGCTGGATTCAGGAGACCCATCTCACATGCAGAGACATACATAGGCTCAAAATAAAGGGATGGAGGAAGATCTACCAAACAAATGGAGAACAAAAAAGCAGGGAGTTGCAATACTAGTCTCTGATAAAATGGACTTTAAACCATCAAAGATCAAAAGAGACAAAGAAGGCCATTTACATATTGGTAAAGGGATCAATTCAACAGGAAGAGACTTTAACTATCCTAAATATATATGTACCCAATACAGGAGCACCCAGATTCACAAAGCAAGTCCTTAGAGACTGCCCACAAAGAGACTCAGACTCATACAATAATATTAGGAGACTTCAACACTCCACTGTCAACATTAGACAGATCAATAGACAGAAAGTGCCAAAGGATATCCAGGAATTGAACTCATCTGCAGCAAGCCAGGCCTAATGAACATCTATAGAACTATCACCCCCAAATCAACAGAATATACATTCTTCTCAGCACCACATCGCACTTATTCCAAAATTGACCACAGAATTGGAAGTAAAGCACTCCTCAGCAAATGTACAAGAACAGAAATTATAACAAACTGTCTCAGACCACAGTGCAATCAAACTAGAACTCAGGACTAAGAAACTCAATCAAAACCACTCAACTACATGGAAACTGAACAACCTGCTCCTGGGCATTCTGGGTACATATGGCCAGAGTGAGGCAGAAATAAGAATGTTCTTTGCAGAACCAATGAGAACAAAGATACAATATACCAGAATCTCTAGGACACATTTAAAGCAGTGTGTAGAAGGAAATTAATAGCACTAAATGCACACAAGAAAGCTGGAAAGTCTAAAATTGGCACTCTAACATCACAATTAAAGAACTAGAGGAAACAAGAGCAAACACGTTTCAAAGCTAGCAGAGAGGCAGAAATAACTAAGATCAGAGGCAGAACTGAAGGGAGATAGAGACACAAAAAACCCTCCAAAAAAATCAATAAATCCAGGAGCTGGTTTTTTTGAAAAAATCAACAAAATTGATAGACCACTAGCAAGACTAATAAAGAAGAAAAAAGAGAAGAATCAAATAGCGCAATAAAAGGCCGTCAAAGGATATCACCGGCCACAGAAATAAACTACCATCAAATACTACTCTATAAACACCTCTCGCAAATAAACTAGAAAATCTAGCAGCACATAACATAGCACAAGTATACATATGTAACAAACCTGCATATACCCTAGAATAAAAGTATAATAATAATAATAAAATAAAATAATTAAAAAAACATTATTAAAGGACATGAAGAGAGAGATAGACAGCAATACAATAACAGTTGGGGTCTTTAAAATCCACTTTCAATAACAATAGATTAACCAGACAGAGGATTAACAAAGAAATACTGGACTTAAAGATTGTACTTTGAGTCAAATGGACCTAACAGACAAATGAACTTTTGCATTCAATAGCAGCAGAATGTATATATGCTTTATAGTGCATATGAAACATTCACGACAGATGATAAAACAATACAAAGAAACTAGATTTAGCTATTTTAATTAAAATCTAAATTCAAGACAATTGAAATCATATATATCATTTCAATGCAGCAATATAAATTGAAATCAATAACAGGAAAAATCTTGAAAAAACCACAAGTATGTAGAGCTAAACAACATGTCCTTAACAATCAATGGTCAAAGAAACCAAAGGGAAATTTAAAAATGTTAGGACAAACAATGGAAGATAACACACCAGGAAACCTGAGATGTGGCCAAAGTAGTTCTAAGAGGATTTTTTTTTTTTTTTGAGATGGAGTTTCACTTTTGTGGCCTAGGCTGGAGTGCAATGGCACGATCTCAGCTCACTGCAACCTATGCCTCCCGGGTTCAAGCGATTCTCCTGCCTCAGCCTCCTGAGTAGCTGGGATTACAGGCATGTGCCACCACACCTGGCTAATTTTGTATTTTTAGTAGAGACACGGTTTCCCCATGTTAGTCAGGTTAGTCTTGAACTCATTATGAAGTGCCCCAAACTTAGGTATCTACATGAAAAAGAAGATATTAAATAGACAGCCCTAACATTATACCTCACAGGAGCAGGCAAAAGAACAAACCTAAATGCAAAGTTAGCAAAGAAAGGGAAATAATAAAGATCTGAACAGAAATAAATCAAATGAGAGCACAACTTCAAAAAAACATAAAAAATGATCAATAAAACTCAAGACTAGTTCTTT